CTCTGTTAGTTATTTCCCATTGATCCCGCATAGAGCTTGTCTATACATATCTGCATGTTGTTGCCCCATTGGACTGTGAATGCCTTGAGGGCAGGGACTTTCACCTTTTTTTTTAATTTCCAGCACTTAGCACAGTGTCTCGCACACAGTAGGTCTTAATAAATGTTTTCCAACCTCACGGAGAGAGGCAGAGTGCGCGTCATTGAGAGGGCAGACTTGGATTCAGGAGAGACCTGAATTAAATGCTGACACTAGGAGAGCAACTGTTAGTCTCTTCGAACCTCAGTTTCCTCATTTGTAAAATGAGGATGGATAAAAAAAACATTTATTAAGTAATTACTATGTGCAAACACTACACTGAGCACACAAATGAAGACACAAATGAAAAAGTGAGACAACAGCTGCCTTCACAGATCTCCAAAGCTAGCTGGTGGGAGATGATGCACATTGGTACTTTCAGTTGCAAGTCAGATGGATGGGCCTGGTGACCCTTAAGGCAGGACCACAAGGCAGATAGGAGTGCTTCATTTTTAATATTATTATTATTATTATTATTATTATTATTTTAGCATCATTTCCATTCAACAAAACCACATCTGTTTCTGGTATTGAATCCTCTGACAGGATTAAGGCCTTTGGCATAAAGAACTTTCTCTTCAGGGTCTTTATAGATGTGACTGCTGAGGAGGCAGGAGCTGTGGCACCTGCAGAAGCAGCTGATTGGCGATTGATGGAGGTGGTGATGACTCACGTATGGGGGCTGCTCCCTAGGATGATGGCAGTGGTGGCCAAGCTAGAAATGAGGTGGTGGCCTGGGGCAGGCTGCTGTCCCTGGGGTTCTTGGACTCATCTGCCCATCAGTGGATGATCTTACCCACTTTACAGGCTCATGGCATAGAAAGCCCTTAGCAAACCTTAAAGACCTACAGAAATGTGAGTTATTATTGTTATTAAATCACTTTCACTGGGTCACACAACTACAGAATGGCAGAAGCAGGCTTCCAAGGCAGGCCTTGTTGTGACTCAGAATATAGTGTGGGGGAGGGGGGTTTCACACATGCACACACACACACACACACACACACGGTTCTTTCCCTTCCCCCTCTTGCTCTGTTTCTTAGAAGCGTACAATCCTCTGATCCTCTGAGCCCTTGAAGCTGCCTTCTACAACCTTCGCTTCATCTAAATGAGTCTCTGGCTTTGACCATCCAGACAAACACCAGGTATGTTTGCGTTCTATGGCCTCTCTTTGGAGAAGAGTTATGTGGCAGATAACTGAGACAGGTTGAAAACTAAGAGCTGTAGCAACTAAAATACCCCCTATGTCTTGGCTGAACAGTTTCCTATGGTATAAGGAATTCCCAGCGAGAAAAGTTCCCTCTACCAATGCAGATCGGTGCCAGCTCTAACAACTTGAGTCTGTTTCCTGAAAGCACTGAAGAGATAAATGACTTGTTCAGAATGTTTCTGGGTTGGGGGGGGCAGGGCAGTCCAGTCTTCCTGATGGAGGCTGGCTTCTTATTCACTATACTGCTCATGCTTTGTATTTTAGATGCTAAAATCTCTTCTCCAGTCCTCCCGCAATGCTTCATAGTAGTACGGAGGTGAGTCTGATTATCAAAAGCTCTACCAACAGAGAATAAGCTGGAAAGTTGAGCATAGAATCTGAGAAGGTCTGCTGTCTAAAGACTCCCAGCCTAGCTAAGCGTGGAAAGGCTGGATTTTTCAGCCACAGAAATTCATAAAACCCTTCCATTAAATCATGTAGGGATGCAATCTGAGTTGGTAGAGGGAGGTTTCACATCAATTAAATCACACTTCCCTGAAGTACTGGAGATTAGGGTGTTAGGATCATTGATTTAGAATTAGGAGAGACCTCATGGGACATTTAGTCCAAAATCTTCATTTTCCAGATGAGGAAACTGAAATCTAGTGGCTTAATGACTTACCCAAGGTCACACAGACAGTAAGTAGCAGAACTAGAATTTGAGCTTGGGTCCTGTGATTACAAGTCCAGTATTCATTCTACTGCACCACGCTGTCCTACTAGTCTCCACTGCAGAGCCTTTGGCTTAAAGATTCCAGAATTGGAAGGGACCTTAGTGGTGCTCTAGTCCAACCTCCTATGCAATGCAGAAATTCTACAGAATCCCAGTGACAGTCTCTTCTTGAATACATCTGATGAGGTTTTCTTTTAGCTGTTTCTGTAAGTCACCTACTCCATGCAACATGCTAATTTGAATCAAAATTCAATACTATCTCAGCACATTCTTTGCATGCCGTATTTACCTCTCCCAGCTTTGTGCCTTTCACAGATTTGATGAGTGTTCTATTTACGTTTTCACAGACTGAAAAATAAAAATAAAAAAATAAAGGTGTTGAACAAGACAGAGCCATGTTACGTACCAATCCCTCCATGGTAACAAAAGTAAACTACTTTACAGAGAACTCACACAAAGCAACACTCACAGAGATCAAAAGAAATGATTACAAGGACACTCTCAAGGTCTCTCTGAAGAACTTTGGAATCAACTGCATGACTTGGGAGACACTAGCACAGGACAGCCCAACAGGGAGTGCCTGCATCAGAGAAGGCACTGTGTTCCATGAGCAAAGCCGAATTACAGTAGCTCGAAAGAAGAAGGAGATGCACAAATTTCGAGACACCTCCACTCTAAATGCTTACATGCCCTATGTGTGCCTGATCTGTGGCAGAGCTCTCCAAGCTTGTACTGGTCTGACCAGCCACAGTCGGACACACTGTACCTTGACCCTGACAGAGTGATGTCATTTTGGTCCTCTTCAAGCACAAAGGACAACAACCAGACCAGACCAGACTGTGGTAACATCAATTCACTAGAATCATCACATTTTTAGACCAAGAAGAGCCCTCAGAGATCATATGAAAGTGATTTTATGGATGAGGCAAATGAGGTTCAGAGGGGGGAGTTTGTCCCTTGTCATACAGCTGGTCAATGGGATAGGACTAGGACCTAGATCTTCTGAGTCCAAGTGCAATGCTCTTTACACAACATAATAGCTGAGTATAATTAACCACCGGGTAAGAATCCACAATCCTTATTAAAAAACAAAACAAAATAAAAATTAGCTCTTTGTTTATCAGGGTTTGAGAACATTCCAAGGTCTTGCTCAAAGAGCTCATTGGCCTTAGAGCTAAAAGATACCCTAGAGATCATCTGGTTGACAGAGGAGGAAACTGAGGCCCACAGAGGAAAAATGATTTGCCAAAGATTGCCCAAGGTAGTAAGTTACAAAGACAGTAATTGAAGCCCAGTCCTCTGATTTCAAATCTAGTACTCTTGTTACTTGGGGCAATCAAATGCTTGCACGTAGCCAATAATTATGGTGTTCTAAAGTGACCTTAAAGAGCATGTGCTCATTATCATGGACCTTGGCCAAGGCTACTATTGAGAATCTCATGCCAAGACTGGAGAGAACCCTGGCTTCCACCCATTGTTTTCTTTGGCCAGGCTCTATGAATTCTAAGCCTGGCAAGAAAGCCCCATTTAAAAAGTACTGGCAGTATTGTGTGGGCTGTCACACAAGGGCTTATGGTTTGGGGTCCTGGCTTAAGCTTAAACAGTGTCTTCTTTTGTTGAGCTGAGTTTGTACATCATTAACAAGTTTATATGTAATTATGAAAAGTCAAACTGTGAAGAGCACAGTAAGCTCAGAAATGTGGTGAAGACGGACCCTTCAATTTACAATCCGTACAGAGTGGCAGGGGAAAGGAAATAGCTCCATCGTTCAGGAGAGGGACTAGCTCATGTAAACAAGATGTGTTCAATAGTGGATCATTTGATGAAGTGGAGAGAGTACTGGATTTGAATTTGAGGTCCCAGATCTGATGCCATTTGTGTGACCTGGGAAGGGTCCTTTCATTTCTCTGGACTTCAGTGTCCCCATCTGTAAAATGGAGGGTTTGGACTAAAGGACCTCCAGATTTCCTTCTGGTTCTTGATCCATGATTTAGAGTTAGAAGGGATCTTAGCAATTGTAGCCAAATCCCCTCGTTTTTCAGAGGCAGGAATGGTAGGGGAAAGTAATTTGTTCCGTGTTTATAGTTGAGCTGTAATGCAGATCCAGGCCTGCTCTCTCCCAATCATCATGCTGCCTCTCTTCAGTGGCTAAAATCAATCACTGGGAACCTGCTTAAATCCAGGTGATGTTAAATCCTTAAGAAAGAAAAAATAATCCTCAAGGGTACACAGAATAATAGTAATGTTAACAGTGTTCATTTCTACAAAACTATCATGGACTCAGAGTGGATAGAATCCTAGACTTGGAGTAAGGAAGACCCCAGTTCAGATCTCATTTCTGACACTCGCTAGGTATGTGGCCACGGACAAGTCATTTGCTTAACCTCTCCGTGCCTCAGGCAACTGTCTAAAACTATATCTAAAGGGATTGTGACCTGTGTTGGTGAAGGAAGAACTGATGAAATGACAGGTCTTTGTTATATTGATATATTTCCATAGCACTTTAAAGATTACAAAATGTTTTAAGATTTAGTAAGGCTGCTGCTATTTCATAGCACGTTTATCAAAAATCTTCTGTGGCGGCAGCTAGGTGGCGCGGTGGATAGAGCACAGGCCCTGGAGTCAGGAGGACCTGAGTTCAAATCTAGCCTCAGACACTTGACACTTCCAAGCTGTGTGAGCCTGGGCAAATCACTTAACCCTGATTGCCTCATCAAAAAAAAAATCTTCTGTGGCTCTCTATTACCTATAGAATGAACAAGGAAATAAGCATTTATTAAGTGCCTACTATATGCCCGACATATGCTAAGTGATTTACACATGTCTCATTTGATTCTTAAAACAACTCTGAGAGGCAGGTGTTATTATTATCCCTATTTTACAGTTGAGGAAACTGAGATGGCCAATAGTTAAGTCACAGAGAGCAAGGGAGTAAGACTATGTTTGAACTCAAGTCTTCCTTACTCCAGGCCCAGTGTTCTATCCATTGTGCTGTCCATCCATCTCCGAGGCAACTAATAAAATACCGAGTCCTCAGCCTGGCATTCAAGGCCCTCCACGGGGTGAGTCCAGCCTCCTTCCCTAGTTTCATTTTTTTATACTTCTCTTTCATGTTCTCTAGCAGTTGTCATTTGTCTTATTATCCTGTACAGGCTTCTCCTATACCCAGAATGCATTCCCTCCACATCTCCACCTTCCCTTGAAATTCCTCCCTTCATTTAAGGTCCAGCCCAGGTGGAACATTCTCTATGAAGCTCTCCCTGATATTTCGCCTAGGAGTAACTGCTCCCGTCTCAAATCTCCCCTCCCTCTCTATTTGACAAAATGGGTACCTTTTGGGAACTTGACGTTAACTGATAGGTCAGGTTGAATAATTTTAATTTATAGGTGATAGGAACCCTATCCTAGTTACCCATTTGTATTTCCCTGTTTGTTGCTTAGCTGGGGGAAGGGGAAGTTTAGTTAGATGAATGTTTGCTGCTGATTTGATTAGGTACGGGCAGAACACTCATCTGATTGGTCGATATTGAGCCTGGAATTAGAAGAATGAAACAACAAGTCCAATCCAGCTGGGCAAATTCCAAAATCAGCAGACAGTGTTCTTGTAGTGAAGCCACCATTCTTGTCTGAGGCCAGAAAGAGACCCAAGTCTAGTGGTGAGAGACTCTCAGCCTACAGAGAATCATGGGTCAGACTAAATCCAAGAAGTCTTCATTAAGGATTAGACCAAAATGGCATCAAGGTCAAGTGCCACACTGACGGTAAGTTATTTAACTTGAAAAGGCTACAAGCCAAGACTTAAGTGGAGGGAATGTTGATGCGTGACTTTTAGTTTGCAGGTGATTGCACACTCAATGCAGTTTCTGAAGCTGAAATCATGGATCATGGATCGATTCTAGGCTGCTTTTGCTAATTCTGGACTAACAATTAACACCAAGAAAACACAGGTGCTCCACCAGCCAACACCGCACCATCCATATGTGGAACCACTGGTTACAGCAAATGGAGAATTCTAAGTACCGTGATTAAGTTTACTTTCCTTGACAGTATACTTTTCAATGATGTACGCATAGATGATGAGGTTGATGCATGCATTGGCAGAGTTAGCTCTGTGTTTGGGAAACTATGAAGAAAGTGTGGGAGAAAAGAGGTATTATGCTACCTACGACACTGGAGATCTACGGAGCCATCGTACTGACCTCACTGTTGTATGCTTGTGAAACTGGACAGCATATCACCAGCACAATGCCAGGAAACTGAATTGCTTCCATTTGAACTGTTTTAGGAAGGTTCTGAGGATCACCTGGCAAGATAAGATACCAGATACTGAGATCCTTTCTTAAACTAACTTGCCAATCATTCATACTCTACTACAGATGGCACAGCTCCAATGGGTTGGCTATGTAGTTCAAATGCCAAACGTATACTTGCCTAAAAAACTATTTTACAGAGAACTCACACAAGAAAACACTCACATGGAGGTCTGATGAAGTGATACATGGACACACTCAAAGTCTCTCTGAAGAACTTTGGAATCCATTGTGTGACATGGGACCCACTGGCAAAGGACTGCCCACCACAGCATGCCCACATCAATGTGCAAAGCAGAACCACAGTAGCTCAAAAGAAACGTGAGATGAGCAAATTTAGAGACATCTCCACCCCAAATGTTCACATGGACTATTTGTGCCTGACTATTTGTGGTCTGATCGGCCACAGTTGGACACACTGTATCTTGACCCAGACATAGTGGGGTCATTTTGGTCCTCTTCAAGAACGAAGGACAGCCAGCCAATATCCAGGATCTTAGATCTAGGCAGCCACATGGCAGGCACAGTGATTAGAGTATAGGCTTGGAATCAGGAATATTTGAGTTTTAATCTTTATTCAGATACTTACTAGCTGACTGACCTAGGACATATCACATAACCTCTTTCAGCTTCACTTTTCTCATCTGTAAAGTGGGTATAATAATAGTACCTACCTCCCAGGGTTATTTTCAAGATAAAATGAGATAATTTATATAAAGCACATTGCAAACCTTAAAAAATGATATAAATGAGAGTCCTTTAGAGCTCAAAGGGATCTCAGAGGCCACCTAATCCAAACACCTAAATTTCACATATGAGAAAATGAGGCCCAGAGAGGGAATATAACCTGCCCAGGGTGAGACAGAGCAGTTAGGTGGCACAGAGGATACAGCACTGGGCCTAGAGTCAGGAAGACTCATCTTCATGAGTTCAAATCTAGCTTCAGGCATTGACAAGCTGTGTGACCCTACATAAATGTGTTTGCCTCAGTTCTCTTATCTGTAAAATGAGCTGGAGAAGAAATGGCAAACCACTCCAATATCTCTGCCAAGAGAACTCCAAAATGGGGTCATGACGAGTCAGACGTGACTGAACAGCCAAACAACAAAAGCTACGACCTGAGTGAGACTAACAGAGAGTGGAGGCCAGGATTTGAATCTCGATGCTCTGGCACCAAGTTGTGACACTTTCCACAATGTCAGAGAGCCAGCAGTCAATAGAGAGGTTAGTATTGTTATCATTACTCGAGGATGTCAGAGCTGGAAAGGGCCAGAATCCCCTTCACAAGCTACAGATAATTTGCTTAGGATGCAGCTTGTGAGGCAACCAAGGCTGAGAGAGAAGGAAAGGATTTGTCCAAAGTCAGGTGGTGAGTGAGCAGAACAGCCGGGACCCACGCGGGGCTCTCCTAACTCCCAGGACAATGTTCTTTTCTCCTGCCGCACAGTGGCAAGGTCAGGAAACGATGAACTGGTTTTCTCCAAGTCTCCTGCCTTCAATGACAGGGGAATTGGGCAGCCCCCCAGCAGGCCACAAAGGTTTATTCACTGCCTATTGTGCCATACACTGTGCTCAGCGCTGGGGGAGAGGCAGGCTTCACTAAGACAAGCTCTCTGCCCTTTAGAGCTTACCAGGTTCACTGGAACAAATGTTCCAGGTAATGACCCCCCTCCCCTCCCTTTTCCCACACCTGAAACTACAAGTTGTGAAATTACAATGGCTGAAGTTGGCTCAAGAGATGAGAAAACACTTCCACCCCTTCCTTGCAGAAGTAGGAAACTATAGGGGTCCTATGTATCCCATCACACATGACTGCTAGCCTGGTTTGCTTTCCCATGCGGCTTTTTCCTCCCTCTTTGTTATTCTTTGTAACAAGGGACAGCTCACTCTGAAGCATATTCAGAAATGAAGGCAATATGAAAACAAATGATACTAATAAAATAAATTTTTCTTTTCTTTTTTAAGGAAGCCGCAATGTACCAACACGTAGGTATTATCAGTTTTTAAAAAATGAAAGTTCTATGCTAAGCCTGATTAGTCATGATTTGGGCTCAGTCATTTAGTCAGCCCAGAAGCACTGATTAAGTCCTTATTATGTGCCAGGCACTGAGCTAAGTGCTAGGTGATACAATCCTTTGGGTGATCCAGAAAGCAGCTCCCTGCCTTGCCATCATTACATACACCAACGATTAGGATCCTGTAAAAACTAAATTGTGGTAGGGGACGGGGTGTCTCATTTGTGGCACAGGGGAAAGAACGCTGGATTTGAAGTCAGAAGATCCAAATCTAGGTGTCTTGCTATGTGTATGACCGTAAGGCAAATCACTCCACCTGGGTAGGCCTCAGTTTCTTCTTTTGAAAGCAAAAGAAGTTGGTAGGGTGGTGGAACAAAACAGTCTCTAAGGCTCTTTTTACCTCTAAATCCCATGCATGGAATCACCAGTTAATTGAAAGTTCCAGTTGATTGAATAGGAGATTAACCAGCTTTCATTGTAATGGGTACTTAGAAAGTCACAGCTGCTCTGGGAGCAGTAGGGCACCAATGAACACATTACAACCAGCTTGGTTGGTTTCCTCTAACTAATGAGTTCGAAGACATCTGATTGGTACTAAATGACAGATACCATCAACACATTTGACCCCCTTTCCAAAAATAGTTTGAGTCTCCCTTTAGAGCTCATAACAGGTGTGAGCTTAGATCCTTCCAAATGCAGAGTAAAGAAAAGCCTACCCTTCACCCTCCCCTAACCCCTGGCTACTCCAGGATTTACACAGCCATCAGAAAAGGTCGCACTGCTCCCATGCCCCCTCCCCACTGTTGAGAGCCGGCCTCTGCTAGCACAGGAGGTGGAGCAGAGCCTAACAATGTTTCCTGCAGAGGAACCATGGCATCTACAAGAGGTGCTTTTTTTTTCTTTTGTGTCTTCTTTTCAACCATAACACCCAAGTGCTTCTAAACCAGTCTCTTAGTTAAAAATAGGCTGGCAAAGGATCCTAGGTTATCCTCATCTTTGTTCTGCCACTGACCGACTAACTGACCGGAGACAAGTCGCTTCTCCCTTCTGGGGCCTCAAAGTCCTCATCTGAAAAAGGAGGAGGTTGGACCAAATGGTTTCTAAGGTCCCTTACGGATCTCTGATACCTCTCTTCTCTCTCTCTGTAAGTGCCACCAAAGAATTATTATAGGAGTGTCATATAATTGTTATATTATTTGATCCCCACAATAATTCTGGAAGGTAGATGCAATTTTCCTTCCCACTTTGTTTCAACAGCCATGAAGGTGGCTGGAATAGGCTCTGTGGAGTGTCCAGAGGTTTGTCAGACATCAAAGATGTGAAGGTCCTCCACTGCATCCCAGGCCATTGCCGGTCCTGTTGATGTTTGTCTTGCTACTGGATTTCAATGACTCTGGAAGGGAGAGTGAAGCTGATGAGTTTCTGCCTCACTTCAAACTGATCCATTTGCGAGTCAAGATATCACCCCATGATGTCAGTGGTCCTCTTTGAAAATGAAAGATGAACAACATTAAAGGAGTGCAATAAAGGTTTGCTTAGAGAAGATGGAGAAGAAGATAGAGATGGAAGAGGAGGATGTAGAGGGAGAAGGAGAAGAAAAGAGGAAAAGGGAAAAGAGGAGGAGAATGAGAAGGAGAACAAGAGAAAGAGAAGAGTATAAGAAAAATTCCACAGGAAATTGAAAGAGGAATTTGGTAGACTGAATGGAACAATCCCCACTGGATTAAGGTCAGCCCAGCTGTCCAGGCCAAATCTATTCTCATTAAAAGCACTAGAAAAGTTTCAAGGTCCCAGAGGGGTCAGGAACTCAACTGAGCATTTCACTGCAAAGATATTTGGTTGATGGTTTTCCTAGGAGCTTGAAAGTTGTGCAAGTGGGTGAATGTCTCTTATTCATTTTATCCCCTTGAAGATGGCTGAAGAAACAGAATGCTTTGAACTTGAAGGAGCTCTGGAGACTGAAAAGAGAAAGAAGTATTTATTTATTCTGTTCCCAGCTTTATAGGGTTCAGAAAAAAAAAACCACTACAGTAATTGCTAAGACTAATAAAATTTGCTTTTCCTACATTGGCAACCATGACTAAGGGTACATATATAAATCAACTCAGAGAGGTTTTAGAGGCAACACGCTGTCCTGTGCTCTTGCCTTTCCAGCAGGAAGAGTTTGGACCTCAAGCTCCCAACCCCTATCCAAAACCCTGCAAATGTGATGGTTACCCAGCAAATGCTTCAGTTCCCCTTCTCATCAAGCAGAGGTGACTGGGGATTATAAAATTTGTATTTGGAAAGGACCTCAGAGATCACTGAGAGTGCAATCAAGATAAAGTATGTAAAAGTAGAATAAATGTGGACTCAGGACTTCTCACTCCACAACTAATGTGCTTTTCTTTTATACCAGTCACATCAATTTAGAACACAGGTGTCAAATGCTCTGCCAACAGCACTCTTGGGTGCCTCTGGAACCAGATTCAAATCTAAATTAAATTAAATTAAAATGAGAAATCATTAACAAAATAAAAATACAATAAAACATGGATAATATTATATTTTTTAAGTAGGCAGTATGCAACCCACTGGAATCCTTATATCCAGTTTTTAGTGGCCCCCTATTCCTGTCTGAGTTTGACACCACTAGGGAGCATGAACTCTTGATCCTGGCATTTGAGATCTTCCACAGTCTGGCTCCAGCTTGCCTTTTCCAGTTTTATCTCGCACTACTCCCTTCCCCTACTCTCTGTGCCATTCAGACTGGACTCCTGTCCATTTTCCATTTTCATCTTTCCCTTTTCTGCTCTCAAACTCTTGCTGATTCTATACCCCATGCCTAGAACGGACTCCTCACCCTAGTTCCATCTGTTGAAGTCATTCCTTCATCCAAGGGCCAGCTTAGATGCCTCTTCCCTCTGTGAAGCTCCCCTATCTGTTTCACTCTCCCTTAAATAGGATCTTTTTGCTCTTAAATTTCTCATAACATTTTACCCAAATCAGTCCTTTGCATGATAGCTCTTCATATATCTGTCATTCCCCACATTAAATGCTCCTTGGGCCCAAATCCCTTAAGCAGCCTGAGCTTCAATTTCCTTCTTCATCAGTAAAATGAGGCTAGTAGAGCACCTACCTCATAGCATTGGTGTGAACAAGAGAAGATAACGTGTGTAAGTGATTCTATGAACTCTAAAGTGCTAGACAATGTTATTATCATTATCATTGTTGTTGTTATTTTTATTTCCACACTGTCAATTACTGACTGGAGGGAAATGGAGCAGAAATGAAACGGCTCCTTCCCTCACTTTATTTCTGCGTTGTCAGGGATGAGCCCAGCGATATTTTCTTTTTTTCATTTAATCTATGACTTTATGATTGTAGGGAGTTCCTACCAATGCAATTTACTTACTTACTCTGCAACTTATAGTCTTAGAGAGGCATTGAAAGGTTAAGTGACTTGCCCAAGGTCACATAACCAGTATGGGTCAGTCTTTGACCCTGTTCTTCTCTAACCTAAAGTCAGGGTTCCATTTATTAAGCTATACTGGACTTCTGCTTTCTGCCAGTTGAGGAGGTGTTCAATAAGATCCATTGAATTTTGTTAATGGGAGTCACTTCATAATGTTCAGGCTTCCTCCGGGACAGGGGTGGGGAGCCTGAGGCCACAGGTTCTCCACCCCTGCTCCAGGCAAATGCTATATAAATTCCCATTAAAGCAGCATTCTTCTCTTTGATCTGGGAGCTCGTTTGATTATATTTGCCCTTTAAGAATTGGGGGGGGGCCTCTCAGGTGTGCTCCTCTTGCCTCCGACAGTGACTTCACGTACCCTCTAATCCCCAAAGGATAGCTGGACTCTAATGACTTTCATGAACTCCTTGGGGAACCTCAGTGGCCAACCCTGCCATTTCCATGATGTCTTTTGATTTCTGCCAAGTTAGCATTCAGTGGGACAACTTTCTCAACATCCATTTATATTTGGCTTGGAAATGAGTGTGAAGCCTGGTTGCCATAGAGTTCTTGGTACTTTCAGCCCTAATGCATGCTAGATAGGTCACCTCTTGGCTGTCTCCTGACTTCTAGCAAGGAAAACCTTCCAGCCCCTCAAACAGGGGTGCTTTAGAACTCATTTCTGAGAGGTGTGTTGGAATTCTTCTCCCTGAGTCATGCCATGAGCTGGCAGTGCTTTTTATAGCATCTCATGTTTGCACTTGCTGCAGATGATCCCGTTTCTGTATTCTGTTTCAGGTCATCCAAAATGACATTTGAGACCTACTTCCCAGGAAGGGACAAGTTCATGAGAGAGAGAAATCAAGTTGAATGGCATTTGTGCAAACCATTTAGAGGTTGGAATCAGACTCTAATTACTATCTGTGGACCTTTCAGATGGGCCTGTGGGTCAGGGTCAACGACTGCCATAAAAAGTGTAAGAGAAATAGCCCAAGATGGGGCAAAAGGGGGAAGAGATGGAGGAGGGTGAGAGGTTATTCTAAGATGCCACCAGAAATCCCGTGCTCCCAGAGCAGGCTTGGCACTGAATAACACAGTATCATTGAATCTCGCAGCTGGGAGGGTCTTCAGAGGTCATCTGGTCAAGCTGTACCTGAGCAGGCCTCCCACCTACTACATCCTTGGAAAGTACTTACCCTAAATCTGCTGGGAGATCTCCAGTGAAGGGGAACCTCCATCAATGTTCCTGGGACAGCACAGTCCTCTGAATGACGCTGAATTGTTAAGAAAGCTTCTTGTTTGTTTGTTTGCTTTATGTGAACCTAAAATCTGCCTCTGAAACTTCATCACAATGTTCCTAGCTCTTCCCTCAAGGACCAGGGTGAACAAAGCTAGTTCTTTTCCCATGTGATAGACACTCCTTCAGATATTTGAAGCCAGCCATCTAGTCCCCTCTAAGTCTTTCCTCCTCTGAGCTAAATGCTCACAGCTCCTTTGACCACTCCTAATTTGTCTTGAGCTTCCAGATCCTTCACCATCCTAATCCCCTTACTATGCAGGTACTTCAGCTATTCAACATCCATCCTAAAATCTGGAACCTGGAAGTAAACACAATGCTCCAAATGTGAGCTGATTCTGAAGGAAAGGCCCATCAATACTATGTCTTGGGGGTGGGGTAGGGGTGATTGTCTGGTCTAGACCAATGATGTCATCAGTTTTGGAACTCCTAGAATGGAAATTCCCTCCTCTGGTTCACATCAGCACCTCATCTATAGCATATATAGTCTGAAAGAATTACCTGGGGACTCTGAGAGATGAAATGATTTGCCCAGGTTATACTGCTGGTATGTGTCAGAGACAGGGAAGGCCATCTCTAGTCATCCTGACCTATATCTTGCCACTGGACCCAGATGGCTCCAGAAAAGAAAGTAAGACTAGTGACTTTGTACAGCCCTCCCTCACTTAAAACCAAATTCACTTGTATGTCGTGGCATCATCTTCCTGATACAATGGTCCTCTTCGAGAATGAAGGACAAATAATAACAACAACAGTCAGAGACAGGACTCAAACCCGGGCAGGTGTCCCAGATACAAGGCTAGCTCTCTATCCATTATATACTTCTCATTCATATTATATATGTATATGTATATATGTGTGTGTGTGTGTGTGTGTGTGTGTGTGTGTGTGTATACACACACACACACACACACACACATACAGACATACACTCACATTTTCACAGGCCCTAAGAAGTAAGTAATATCACTTAAGAGGCAGTCTGGTGCAGTAGTTAGAGCCTGGGACTTAAAACCAAGAAGATACGAGTTCAAACTCTACTTCAGATGCCCACTTGGCAATCTCTTAGAGCCTTAGTCTTTGTCCTCTATAAAATGAGGATGCTAATAGCACCTCCCTCACATGGTTTCTACGGGCATCAAAGGAAGTCTAATGTAAGAGAAGCATGCTATAAGCCCTAAAGTGATATAAAAATGGCAGCTGCTATCATTATTCCCACCCTGTCAATTACTTACTGGGTGAGAATAGGGTAGGGGTATACTCCCCTGCCCCATTTTAGAAATGTTGTATAAAATACATGATAATATTGAGGGAAATCATGTGCATTTTCTAATAGTCATAACAAACATCTGTATATAGCATTTTTAATTTTGTAAACTACTTTACAAATATGATTTTATTTGAGCCTCACAACTCTGTGAGGTAGCTACTACTGGATGTTTTTTGTTGTTGAGTTGTTTTTCAGTCGTATCCCACTCTTTGTGACCCCATTTGGGGTTTTCTTGGAATAGATACTGAAGTGTTTTGCCATTTCCTTCTCCAGCTCATTTTATAGGTGAGGAAACTAAGGCAAACAGGTTTAAGAGACTTGCCCAGGATCAAATAAATAGTGTCTGAGGCCATTTGTGAGATCAGAAAGATGAGTCTTCCTGACTTCAGGCCAAGCACCCTATCCACTGTGTCACCTGGCTGCTCTACTACAACCCTAGGATCTCTCTTTTACTGATAAGGACTCAGAGAGGTTGAGTTACTGGCTCAGGGTCACATAGCTAAGAGGTGTCAGAGGTAGTGTTTGAACCTAGGTCTTCCTGGTTCTAAGTCCTATGGGTTGCTGCCTTTTCTCTTCAACCTAAAAATATTCTATGCTATCTCAAGAACTCTGCCTTATTTAGAGTTCTATCACCTTGGCCTGCTGAACATATAATAATATGTGGAGAAAGCAGTTTTGAAAATCTTAAAGAGCAATGCCCCCAAAGCCAAATTCTGCTTCCTCTTCAGATGTGGAGGAAAAGGAAGGCAGCTTGATTGTCTTCCTGGAAGTTAATCAAAACGGACAAATGCACTGGAACATAGGATTCAGAACTGGAAGGAACTTCATAGACCATCTAGGCTTATCTCATTGTACTGAGGAGGAAACTGAACCCAGAGGAGGGAAATGATTCGCCCAAGGCTACACAGGAAACAAATAACCCAGCAGGAAAATGTGAAAATGGCGGACTAGTGGAATAGAATAAATACATAATACACAGTAGTAAATGACCATGGCCATCTAGTCTTTGATAAACACAAAGATCCCAGCTTTTGGGACAAGAACTCATTATTTGACAAAAACTGTAGAGAAAACCAGAAAGCAGTTTGGCAGAAACTAGGTATAGTACACCATTTCACCAAGAGAAGGTCAAAAACACATATAGGATGATGTCATAAGTAAATTAGGGGAGCATGGAAAATTTTGCCTGTCAGATCTACAGATGAGGGAAGAATTCATGAGCAAACAAGAGGTGGAGAGGATCATGGGATGTAAAATGGACAATTGTGATCACATTAAAGTGAAAAGGCTTTGCACGAACAAAACCAGTACAGCCAAGATTAGAAGGAGAGGAGGAAACTGAGCGGGAAATTACAGCAACCTTCTTTGATAAAGGCCTTGTGTCTCAAATACGTAGAGAATGGAACCAAATTTATACAAATAAGAACCATTCCACAAATGCTAAATGGTCGTGCACAGCTTCTGAACAATCCGAACTGCTAAAGTGCGGCTGCTGCATTCTAAGAACTCCTTGTGCCTGGAGGTCCTCAAGCAGAAGCTGAACGACCCTTTGTCAGGATAGCATAGAGGACCCAGGTTAGACTCGATGCGTCGCCTCCAAGGCCTTTACCAATTCTAAGATGCTGTGAAATGTGTATTTTTGCACAGGAATCTATTCTACCAAGGTAGATGGATTAGCAACTATAGGCTCACAAGAGAACACAGAGCTCTCAGGAACCTTAGAGATCATCTAGGATAACCCCCTAAACAAGGCCCTGAGAGGGTCACAGAGGCAATAATGTAGCATCACAAGGATTCAAAGTGACACGTTCCCAGTCCATTGTCTTCTTTTTTTCCACTACAAGCTGGAAGGTGGGTGAAATGCTCTGGGTTGCTCTCATACCAGAAGTTTAAATGATACCTTGATCCTAAAATGGACATGATCCATGAATAATTTGCTAATCCCCTGAAACCAATTTATCCCAGATCTAATCCTGTGGCTCCCCTGCTCAAGAAGTTTAATTAGTTCCCTTTTGCTAAAGATCTCTTTTGCTAAGATGAAAGACAAACGCCACTGTTTGGCATTTAAAACCCTTCACATTCGAATGCCATAGTATCTTTCCAGATTTGCCTTGCATTATTCTCTCACACACACCACACTTTTGCCACACTGGTTTACTTAGCTCTTCCTCATAAAAGGCAATCCATCTTTTTCTTCCGGGCCTTTGCATAGGCTGCCCTTCTCTGTCTCCCCTCCAACCATGCCTACATTCAGGCTTCCACCTCTGAAGTGGCACAGAGGAAAGGGCACTAGCCTTGGAATCAAAGAGTGTGGGTTCAAATTCTGCCTCTGTCACGTACGATGTGGGCCTCAGTTTCCTTATCTGTAAAATTTGGAGGTTCCACTACATGGCTTCTAAGATCCCTGCTGGCTCTAAATCTATGATCCTTTTCTTCCCCCAAGTATTCAAGTCAAGTATTACCCCCTTGTTTGAGGCCTTTTGCAATACCTCCAATTGTGTGTCCCTGCTCCCATCTCCACTGAAATTACTTTGCATTGATTTTATATACATTTGATGTTGACGTATCTAGGTATATCCTCTTTTTCCCTAATAGAATGTAAGTGTCTTGAGGGCATACCATCTTTTTCTTTTTTTTGTCTCAGTATCCCCAGAACTGACCATAGTGTGTGGCACATAGTACAGGCTTAATAAATGTTTGTCAAATGAATGAACTCATATATAGATTTTTTTCAACGAGCTCTGAACCAAGTCAAAGCCTTTTCAAAAAGAGCACCTAGGGAACTAGTTTAAATTCAAACCAAACCCATGTACTTTCCCAAACTATGGAACTGGAACATCAAAATATTCTCTGAATCAAAGCTGATCTAACCAGACTCTAATTTGGCTTAAATCCTAGCTCCACAGTGAAAACAACATGAGGCTTTGTCTTGCACGTCCTCCTTCATTCCACAAAGTATACTTCTGTTAAGAGTTGGCCAGAACATGAGGGTCAGGGTAAATTTTCTGGGGTTATCCATTGGACTTTGCCATCAGTCCCTAGAAAGCAAGGAACACAGAGTTGGAACCAAGTCTGAGTCAGGGTTGAATTTCTGATCTATTCCTCTCCACTCTTTCTTTCATCATCATAACTGACCTTTGTACAGTATTCTACAAATGTCATCTCACTGGAGGCTCAGAAAGAATCCTGTGCCATGGGTACTGCATGCATTGTGATCTCTATTTTACAAACGAATACAGAGACACTCAAAGGTCATTGACATGACTTGTTTGATTACAAAGCACTTATGTTTCCAAGGTGGCAAACACAGGACTCATTGATTCCAACCCTCTGCCCAATGTGAGATGAACATTTTATAACCACTAGGCTTTCTCCTCCTAGCATACAAGAACCAACAAATTTTTTTCCCTTTTGCTCCATTTTCTGCTCCCTTAAGCTATCTTTCTCCTTTCCGTGAAGAGAGAAGAAGATGCTCTCTACTCCTTTCCCCCAAAAGGATGGGAGAGATAACTTGCCCTTTATGTCTGAAGAAAACAAGAGGAAAAGAATCTGGAAATCCCCTGAAAAGTATCCAAAGGCATGTTATTCTCCATCCAAACAAGGCAATCACAGTGTTGCTAGCTGAGAAACCTTAAATTTCTATCACTTATCAATTCAGTCACCCAGTTATTCTAACCACCCAGTTGCTTTATACTCCAGATTTTTCTGAAGCCAAATGCTTTTTAAAATTTCATTTAAAAAAAACCTAAAGAACATGACTAGAAGGTACTAAAAACAGAGCCAGTTCTTAGAAATGCCCCAGGTCTCGGTGATTCATGGCATGTCTTTTGAGAACGAAAGAAGCCATATTAATTATAATTTTTCAAGAGGCAGTGCGGTGCAGTGAACAGAAAGCAGGCGTCAAGGTCCACCTTTGTCTGACATTACTGCCTGTGTGACCGGGCCAGGCGTTTAATCTCACAGTCTCTCAGGCGGGTTTTTAAGACTGTTAATCTCAGAGAAGGTACCTCTCTGTATGGGAAGCAAGGG